AGCATTCCATTAAGCAGACATAGAGTGCAATATTAACTGTTTGTTTACTAATCTCGTTCAGCTGTTGACTTTCGATGATCGAATTTCGAGTGTGGATAAAACAGACAACTCGATGGCTCGACGTTCGATTAGTTTAATTTTGTGGTGCACTGTTTGCAAATTATAGCATACTTTTGGGCGTCTCTCTCTATCTCTTCCCTCTCTCTCTCTCTCACAATGGTTCACAATTCTCGACTGGAACTGCAAACATTATGCACATCGCTGGCAAACGTGACCAATGCCACTTCTAATTGCATTTTTACTTAGTTGCCACGCCCCTCGTCGCCCGCATCGCCCCCTTCGGGCGGCACGTGGAAAAGTTTAATTAAACGTATTTGATTTATGACTTCCAGCCATGGCCAGGTGGGCGTTGGGGGCTGCCTGTGCAACTGCCAACCGCAATTCCAATTGGAATTGCGTCCATTCTGCTTGGACTGATGCTCGCTGCCTCGTTCGCCCAGCTTCAGTTGCCGTTCCTATTGCAGGCCATTAAGAGCGTGGCGCACACCTTTATGACTTGGCCACGTGGAGGCAGCTCCGGCTCACATGCCACAATGCGTTTATGCGTTTGCTCTGCTGCACTTTTTCATCAAGTTAATCAATGCTGCTCCGCCTGCTGCTCCGGCTTGGCCAATCTGGCTCGCAAATCCCTGCGGCTTATGCGCTAAATCAGGTACAGGCCACAGGCCACGCACAAATCTCCAGCTCAATTCGGGCCTGCAAAATATTTCACGATAATCAACTTTGATAGACCGACGACTTCGACTTGCTCCACCGCAAGAAAAAAAAAAGAAACAAGAAAAAAAGATTCCGAAAATCGCCAGAAATCCGCAAAACAAACCAAATCCCCTACACACACACACACACACACATACATACATACACATACATATTCCATAGTTAGACACGGCGCCTGCAGCAGCCGCCATTTTCTTGGGCCGCCCTTTTTCCATATTTTTTATGGTCCGGCGTGGAAAATGAAAATGGAAAAAGTTTCGTGTTAAGGAAGTAATATTTTTCGATGAACTGCCGGATAATCGCTGCGTGCTACATTGCCCACTGGATATTGGCTTAGTTTGCTAAGCTACCTCTCCCACTCTCTCTACCTCTCTCTCTTTCTGTCATTCTGGGTTCGCCCAAAAAAAATCCTCGTCGTAGCAAAGGTAAATAGCGAGTGAAACGCTCGCCTCTGATTAGCCTTCAATTAGGTGTTTCACTTTATGTAGCCTGCATATGCCTCAAAGTAATTGGACTCTGCTAATAGAAAGAGAGAGAGAGAGAGAAAGAGAGAGAGAGAGGGATAGAGGGATAGAGGGAGAGAGAGAGGGATAGAGGGAGAGAGAGAGAGAGATACTACTAAGACTCGTAAAGTTCATTTAACAGTTGATGTTAGACAGCTAAGCATAAGGCAACAGTTTAAACTCTGATACAAAGTTGAGAAGAAGGTGTCTATTGTATAGATTTAGCTCTAGAACATGGTTTGTTATGGGGATTTTTAATCTTTCATTAAGAATACATATATATATATATTTATAATGCATAGTATATTTGTCTATATAAAAGCAATATAATACAGTCGAGTCTTGA